TAATAATAATAATAATAATAATAATAATAATAATAATAATAATAATAATAATAATGACGATGATGAAAAGGAGAAGGAAATACTGTGGTAATTGTGACGATCGGTACGAAGAAGGGGAAGAAGGGCGAGTTTTGGCGTCGGGGGAGAAAGTGGCAGGGCTTCCGTGGTTGCTCTGGAGGCAGGCCGCGTTTCGTCTGCGTTCGCGTTCCAGTCACGCCGCGCGTATTACGCGACAGCCCCTGGTGGCGGCCGTCGGAATGACAACTTCCTCCCGACGTGGAAGCAGAATTTCCTAAGTTCCAGTAATTAGTAGGCTCTCAAGTCCCCGGTTTAGCTTTCGACGGATCTCCAGTCAAAACCCGATCTTCCCTGAAATTGCAGCGGTGCGTGAACGTTAGCTCGTAAGACATTTGGAGGTCTAGAACGACATGTAAATATTATTTGTCCGTATATATTGTTTGAAATATATGGTGGCAAATTTTTATATATGTGTGTAAGACGTTTATTTCTTTTTTTGGTAAACTAAATCTTTCTCGAGAAACGTTTAATAGCAATTAATAAGCATTTGAAAATTGTAACACGGATTTTCCTCTATATAATAAGCTTCAACATTATGAAACTCAATCAACACAAAATCACAATCGACAAAATATTCTATGGGAATCATTTAAAATAGGATTTTACAAATGTTATGTTTCTTATATCCCTGGGATATGCAAAATGGAAACACGCATTTTTGAAAGTTATATTGTATTTTAGGAGATTATCTTGTTTGGAATGTCAGAAGCATTGTGTGTGGTTTCAGTGGGAGATTATTTTCATGAATTTCAAAGTGTGTAAAGTTCGCAAGAGGCCAACTCTCCTTTCCATACATAATAAGCTAGGAAAATTTACGATTTTATTAATTACTATTGAACAGACGTCATCAACACAAAGCCCCATGCGCTCCTGCTGTAGAAGAAATTGCTATCGTGAGGTTCGTCTCACCAATTGAAGATGAACGGTTTAGAATTTTGTCGATGTTTGAAATAAATCAGCCGGTGCACGTGCTTTCATCAATATATGATACGGTGTAATACGCTCTATCATCAAACATAACTCAGAAATGGTAAGTTCCAGAGCCTGAAAATGTGATTGTGTATTCCCCGGAGTCAAGAGTTACATTTTTTATGCTGCATTATACTCAATGTAAATTTTCTAAGTTATATTTGGGAAGGTTTCTCTCTTCTGTTTATCTCACTTTAGAGCACACGTGAAATGGAAATTTATTATATATTAAATTCAGTATTTGAGTTTTCATGCAATATCTCCAAGAATACTTTCTTGACTGTCTCCAGCCTTTGAAGATAAATTAGTTATTTCAGTGTTTTCTTGTACATATTATTAAAGTATATCACATTGCTACCGTTTATGAAATCTAATATTTGGGACACATTACCTATAGTATTTCTTAACACGGAAGTTTTAATCAAAGAGTTCGAGATTGAAGAACAAACTGATAATACTATAAAAATGGCTAACCTAACAAAACATTTTGTCTCTTACCTTTAGGAAAAGTGACTAATTTTGTAAGTAGCTAGTCTACAGAAATGATATGTCTACTTCTTATAATACGCAGGACTTCAAGTTTTGCAACTGATAATTGTAAATCTTGCTCACACAATGGCAATCCATCGACGGCATGGGTGACTTCCTAAATGTAATGTCTTAACTAGCGTATTTTTATTTTATTCTTTTGCAAACACCAATATGAGGAACGGTTGTTACATTTGATGTCGTGAAAGTAACGGAAATGTATTTCATTCAATAGATTTTTTGTCGATAAACATCATTGCCTCCCACATTCACGATGCCTGTAAACTTATCACCAGTTTTAAATGGCTGAGAGCGAAGGGATACATGTCAGGCTAAATTCGTTGATCCCATTACCTTCGTGACTTTCGACCCAGAACACGCAGTCCAGTGTGGTAAATATGGATGTACTTCAAATACCAAAGCACCAGCAGACTGTTAATGCATGTATTTATTCTGCCCATGACTATAATACTGCTGTTCAAAACGAAATAGGTTTATCAGCCTCGACTAATAATAGAATATCATTCAGAAATATATGTTATTACTTCAAGAAACGCCGAATTAAGAATCAACATTAAGATCACTAATTAACGAGTCTGATATAAAAGGAAAAAAACGACAAAAGTCGTATCGAAAATTAACGCGTTAAGGAACATTGTACAGGCTTTCTTTAAATAAATGTTGAAAACTACTACATATCTGTAGATCAGCTAGAGGGTCCTTGATGGTCATCTTTCCCTATTGCAAAAATACTGAAAATTTATAATTTACATATTTATATATTGTTACTTTTTCATTTGTTGTTAGGCAAAGTATTGGCATTCGGCAGGCATTTCGACTGCTTTAGTGTGTTTCATGCCAAATAACAATGCACTAAGAGTTTCCTACAAATCAAATGTCACATGAGTAATTTGTTTTAGATGCAAATTCTAACCACAGGTTTATATGCAAGACAATTTACACGATCTCCATCCTAGCATATTCGCTACGGTCGTTTGCAACATTTATTTAGGGACATCAGCTTAGAACACACGTTCTTCTGAAAACGAAAATACTAAGAGAACGAGCAGCTACACCGGGAGAAGTGGCTCGGGGCTACTGATGACGAAGTTTAGAAAATCATCGATACTTCGATACATCACCAAAAAGTTTTCGATGTTGACGTAAACATAGGCAAGACATTCATGCTTAAATTATAGATGTTTTAAATATGATGAAATTTTTCGAATTAAAATGTCCTGTTTATTATCCAATACATAACACTCCAATATTAGTTTAAATTATATTCTGCCTCGAGTGTGACTGTCATCTTAATTTTCTAATGAATGTTTTATGTAGTCAATGTTCAAATTGTCATTTGACGATATTCCGACATTCAAAATAGTAAAAAAACGTAACAACACCGAAGAATGGTTGCGAATAGTAAACGTTTCGTAATTTCTGAGGATCGACAATAGTGACAGTTCATTACGAGCAATCCACAAATACAATACTTGATAGTGTATCTTTTTTATATTATGATAATGTTTTTTTGAGAGCATCGATGTTTCTGCACAAGAACATCGATTGGAAAAAAAACCCATTGAAAGCACAACATCGATGTTATAATATCGATGTTTCTGCTCCAAAATATCGATTATTTAAAAACAGCCTTTTTTCGTCCCTACGCAGGTCATCAAATGAAGGCATTGCAGTGTCTCCGACCGGAAAGTCCTAACGTTCGCGTCCTAATCGTGGTAGGAATTTCGACACTAGTTACATAGCTAGTGAACAATTCAGTCACCGTCTGAAGGAGAATTGTAGTGGCTGGGTGCTCTGATCGGTAGTATTTCGTAGTTTCTGCGATCAATTCCTGGCGAATGGCAGACCAGTGCCCTACGAAACCAAGGGTCAAGGACCGCGTGCAATGCTTTCTTCTCAATCTTTCTCTTATACTACATCTTACTTACACACACTTTACACCACCACATATGCTGGGAGATCGGTCATAAGCTAAGAGCTTTCCCGTTTGAGGCGTTGACTCTCTGGTGGGAGATACCAGGTAGGAGAAAACCCCACTAGCCGATTGGTAGGTCGGCGCCGGATCTCATCGTCCAGCTGAGGGAGATCACCCGAGGAAAAAAACATGCACAACACTTACGGGACAAATGACCTTAGCTGTTGACGCGCCCGGAATCAGTAATCAATCAAATAAAAATGATTAGCAATTAGAGAGTTGAGCGAAAAGAGACGCAGAGGAAGCAGCGTGGAAAGCGAAGAACAAGAAGCGGCCGGGGCGGTGGAGGCGTGGGTGCGAGAAGAGGCGACAGCATCCCGGAAATGGCGTGTCGTGTGTTTTCGGAGCGCGAGAGGGCGAGAGAGCAGCGCCTCCGAGCGCAGTGAAAATGAAATAATTTTGTTAGCGCGCCCCCGGGCCGGAACCGCGCCGCCTGCGTTCGCCCGCACGGCTCCGCGACTCCCGGCCCCGCCCACCCACTCCCCCGCTCACGTGCCGTCTCCCCCTGCTGCCGACGGCCCCGCTACCGTCAGTGACACGCCGGCGGTGCAGCGGGTCGTCCTGCTTCCGCCACAACAATTCCTCTGCAGCTACAACAATTCCTCTGCAGCCACAACAATTCCTCTGCAGCCACAACAATTCCTCTGCAGCCACAACAATTCCTCTGTAGCCACAACAATTCATCTGCAGCCACCACAATTCCTCTGCAGCCACAACAATTCCTCTGCCGCCACAGCAATTCCTCTGCAGCCACAAAAATTCCTCTGCAGCCACAAAAATTCCTCTGCACCTACAACAATTCCTCTGCAGTCACAACAATTCCTCTGTAGCCACAACAATTCCTCTGCAGCCACAACAATTCCTCTGCAGCTACAACAATTCCTGTGCAGCTACAACAATTCCTGTGCAGCTACAACAATTCCTGTGCACCTACAACAATTCCTCTGCAGCCACAACAATTCCTCTGCAGCCACAACAATTCCTCTGCAGCTACAACAATTTCTGTGGAGCTACAACAATTTCTGTGGAGCTACAATTCCTGTGCAGCTATAACAATTTCTCTGCAGCTACAACAATGCCTCTGCAGCTACAACAATTCCTCTGCAGCTACAACAATTCCTCTGCCGTTACAACAATTCCTCTGCCGCTACAACAATTCCTCTGCAGCTACAAGAACGGCGCCAGCTGAGTTGGCTTAGAGGCAGCACTCCTTCTCTCCTGACAGCGGCTCTGACTAGAAAGTCCTAGAGTTCAAGGCCAGACGCCGAAAGATTTTCTATACATAGCTTCATAGCTACATTGCTAGGTCCAATTCAGCCGCTGTCTGGAGGAGAATTCTAGCGGCTGGCTGCTCTCATCGGTAGTTTTCCGCGGTTTCTCCGATCAACACCAGGCGAATGTCAAAGCTGTACGCTAACGGGCCACGGACTGCGCGCAATTTTACCTCTTCTTTGTCCAATCCTCATACCTTACACACACTTTTACTAGAATGCGCTACACTACCATATTTGGAGAGGTACCACCGGGAGACCGGTCGAGAGCTTAGAGCTTGTTCCGGCTGAGATGGTACCTCGCTGGTGGGAGGATATCTGAAGGGGAATGTTCTTGCATGCCAACGTGTAGGATGGCACTGAATCTCACAGGAACGGAACCCTGTCACTTCCAAGGACATAACATGCACTACTTTACTACCGCAGCTTTGAACGGGTGTCTTTGAACGGGTGTCTTTGAACGAGTGTCTTTGAACGAGTGTCTTTGAACGGGTGTCTTTGAACGGATGTCTTTGAACGGATGTCTTTGAACGGATGTCTTTGAAAGGGTGTGTGAACAGAAATTTGAAACGGGTGTTTGTGAAAGGATGGTGAGAACTGGTGTTTGGAATGGATGCTTTAAACGGGTCTTTGAACGGGTGCTTTGAACGGATGCTTTGATTCTGGTGCATTGAACGGGTGCTTTGAACGGGTGGTTTGAACGGATACTTTGAACGAGTGCTTGGAACGAGTTCTTTGAACGGGTGGTTGGGAAGGGAAGGGAAGGTTAAAGTGCGAGTGCGTGTGTGAGCTTGCAATGAGCTTCTTTTTGCGGTGTTTGGTGGCAATCGTATGCCCACTGGCGCCGGCGCCATCCTCTTAAGTTGACACACCGGTGGGGGCGGCGGCAATGGCGGTGGCGGTGACTGCGCGGTCGTGACGGTGCCTTCCCCGTCGCGGCGTTTCCGACACGGCGTGCGCGCCGTGTCTCCTGCAAGAGTAACGCCCCCACCCCCTCCCACTCGCCACGCAATGACCTTGCATCAGCAGATCTGCACCAGCGCCACTTCCGATGGATTACATCCACGGCTTGGGCCGCACGCCGCTGCAAACGATGCTTTGCCGAATGGGTTCAAGAAGTCTTATATTATCGATTTTCATGCATTTGTTGAGAACAGATCCGATCACAGTTGCAGCGAGTCGCGAGTCGAGAAGAAAACGCTAAACATGTAACATGCAATACTGCAACACTAACGTAACCCAACGTTAGGTTATCGTTATATCAGTGACCGTTAAAACTTTTATAATAATCTAATTATTAACAGAACTCCTATTACGTTTTTAGTAGCGCTGATGCTTTAATTCAGCAATTTATTAAGCGTGTTATTCCTTAATTTAAAAAGAAGCAAAGACTTTAATCTCGTTTATCTCAAAAATCAATTTTCCAGTACAACTTCTTTTGAAGCCTGTGATTTTCCTTCTTCCTTTTATTCTCCTTCTTTTGCTTTTCTCCGCTTTTTCGTTTACTTCTTCTGATCCCTGATGGCCTCATATTTACCTCTTAAAATAGGGCATGATTCTTTGATTAATCAAATGTTTCATAAGAGACTTTTCTACGACAAATACGTTTTAAGTCTTGTAACTACATTTCAGAAGTGTTGATTTGAATAGTACAGGAAACAAACATTAAAATATTGGAATAAAGAGCTTTTTAGATCTTTGGTAGTTTACAAAAGCATAATGGCTTTCATTTCTAATACCAGTAAGACATGTCAAGGGTAAAAATTGTCATAATTAAATGTTACATGTTCAAAGTATCTCCTAATATGAATTTTCTTTGCACCAAAAACATGACTTTAATTACTACTTCCACACTTTTCCTATTGCTTCAAATCTAAGTTACGCAAAGAAACATTAGATATCTCAGCAAATAAATTAGAACACTGAGCTTAATATTTGTTTAATATCAAAATTTTTGCATGAAGCATTCTATAACACAGCGTGATTCACAAAAGTACCAAAGTTTATGTTGTGCGCAGAAATCCCACATGTGTGTTCGTCGTAAATAACATGTAGGTTTAGGCATTGTTCACATCACCCGGTTTATACAAAACAACGTATTTTTAGCCGGCTGTGGCAGAAAGGTCAGAAGGTGACGAGAGCCAGAGCTTATTACTGAGGGGTGAATGCGCCAATGGGTTGGAGGTCGGGCCTGTGCATCAGGAATTCGCAATATGTGGCTCGGCAGAAGCCTGCCTATCCACATCGGCATAGTGGCACATGAATAAGTAAGGAGATTAGGGAGAGCTAATTACGTTAACGTGGGAATAAAACGTGGCTGATGTGCCCATTAATAGATCCGAGGGTGCGTTGAACTTCAGTGGTGAACGGGTCAGTACACGAGGATGAGAAATGGGTCATCCGGTACTAAATGGCACAGCGTGGCGGAAGTTTAATTGAATCACTGATACGGGAATGAAGGAGTATTATGGTATTCACAAATTCAATTTTCTGCTTTAGTACACAGCGTATGAAGGTGATTATAGATGTGGCTCAACTTTTATAGTTGAAGACATTACCTAATAAGCCGGTTCGTGACGTACATGACTCACATTTTAGTACGTCATACCTGCTCAATAAATTTACGAAGCAAAAACAACAATGAAATTGAACAGACTTTCCCTGAAGTTGAAAGGTTTCGAGAGTCGACGAAGCCAAGTTCATATTTTGTAGATAAATATGATATTTTTTTTGATTTGATATTGTACCTACTAGGAGAATAATTTATTATGCGGTATGACTTTTTTAACATTTGAAATAAAATATAATGCAAATTAGAACTAGATATTAAAAATGTTTTAAGACATCTCAATATTTATTTCAGCAATTTCATAATAAATTTAAGAGACGGAAAATAAAGTACATTTTTCAGTTATTATTACAATTTGGTCTGAGTAAAGAGCCTTTCAACACACCTTCAAAAATTGTTCCCAAAATTCATCTCAATATTAAAATATGACTAATGTTGATATTTTGAGAATAAAACTCCTTTACATACAACAAACTTATAGTATAAAATTTAACAAATAACAGTAAGTTAATATGAAACCAAATTAATACTAAAATATCTGAAATATAGCATTTATTGTCTGGGACGTACAGTTATTCTTATTTATGAAAGGGACATTCCATTCCGGGAATACATAAATGCAAATACTATGCGAATTTCACTAGTACTTCCAAGTAATAACCACTTCTAGCACTTCTACCCGACGACCGCCTGGCGAGTTTTATAACGACATCTCGAGTGTAAACAAGCCATTCAAAACTTTCGCCGGCGTGTAAACAACATCACGGAACGTTGAAAGGACTCGAATCGTATATCTCAACTCGTCAGCAGAAATTCATTTTTTTCATTTGTTATGCGCTAACTTAAAAATACTCACCACTCCAAGGAGGGGCAGGCTTGTTATTTTTACGGACAATTCGAAAGGTGAGCGCCGGGCCACGGGAGGTTACGCCAGGATGAAAGGTCGCGTAGGATTCTTAATAATTGAGCATCTTTTCAACTCTTCGCAGCAATTTTATACTACCAAAACTTCGGCATAATTTTTAAAGGATATAAAAAGCGCAGAAAGGAGCGTAAACGCTACGCGGGGCGAAAGTTTCTCTCGGAGGAGAGCGCAAATAAAATACTTCCGCTAGCGTTTTACATCGCGACGGAGGCGCCGCTGCGCGGGGCTGTAAAACCCCGAACCATCTGCGCGGGGGAAAAGGGGGCCGCGTTACATATCAAAAGAGACTCACTTGCGAAACATAAATATACATACGCAACGCAACGCAGCGCAGCGGTGTGGGGCCCCGGGCGTTGCTGGGCGCGCGGTGCGTGCGCGCGTGCGTGCGTGTGCGTGTGTGCGTGTGCGCACAAACGAGACGCGCATATAGGATGGGATGTGGACGTGCGGGAGAGCCGGCGGAGGCGACCCCCGCTGAGGGCGGGAGGGCTGGAGACCGGCGTGTTTCCGAGGCAGAAGAAGGCAGAGTTGGGGAACGGGTTTGGGGAATGTCAGCGGGGGCAAACGCAAGGCGAATATGCAGAGAGGGGGGGTTCTTGGTAGTCAAATGAAATAATTTATTGATATTTCATGCATTGTGATTTATTGATAATTAATGCATTACTCCCTGAGGAAGGACTAATAAGCCATGAGGAAGGACGCCCTAAGGACATGCAAATGCCACTCATGAAATATATTTTTTTTTCCTCTAATGAAGAAATGAGCAACAGGGTTTGCCATTTCATAATACCATATTCAGCACGTCCTAAACGAACGTGGTATCCCCCCACACACAATGCGATTAGTAAACGAACACCGCTTGCAAGTGACGAGTCAAAGACGTTCATCAACACAATCGCCCGAACACGGTTAAAAAGCGCCAACGCATTCTGTTGGCACGCCTGATCCCCTCGTATCACGTGCTACTAGTGGCGCGGTCGGGTCTCTCCTCCCTCCCCCCCCCATCCCGCAAAGCGAGGGCGTTCCGGCGCTCGACAGCCGTTCAAAGAGCCGCGTTACGCTGTCGGGGCACTTGCCCTGATTTGCTGATAAGGACGCGCATTCGCGGTCAGAAGCTTGAGGCGAGACGAAGGGCCCCGTAAATCAATGAAGGGCTGCCGCGCGCGTCGGAGGCCACACACAGGGAATCGACGATTAGACGGACGGGGAAGGGAGGTTGGGCAACGAACTGCTTCGCGCTTCGGTGGGAATCGCGCAAGTTTTAGAAACGACAGGTGAAGCGAATACCGAAACGTTAATTTGGAAGTTAGCAAAGGCATTTCTATAACTCCGCTAATGAGAAACAAAAATTCTGTAAGAATTTTCGGGTTTTTATTTTAAAACAAAGAAATAGTTAAGAAATTAGATTGATATAGCCAGTTTTTGAAAGAGAAAAAAATCATGGCTGAGGGGATTAAAACGTCAGAGAGACATGACTCTCAAGCCGCTCATATTGCTCATATTAATACAAAACTAAATTCAAAATTCACTTCGTTTTATTTTGAAACGTTTAGCGATCAAAACAGACTAATACACATTCATGGTTAATGTTGAAAGAACTTGGGCATATGTTGGTCCTTTTACCTTTTTAATTGATTGAAATTTCGTTAAAAATCTGATTTACTCTACTCGTAAGTTTATTTGTAATTTTCAAGACTTTTAAGACTATTTGACCTCCTAATGAAACGAATTTCCTAGGTGCTTCAGCTATCGTGATTATTCAGTGTGCATCTTCAAAGGTATTTACATATCTACGTTTTGTATATATCATATTCTTCACATATTTTATATTCTTTTGGTTATCTTTTTTTTAAGTACACAATACACGTCCATATTTACCTCTCTTAATTTCCGTTCTGATGCAGCAGATGTTTGTCTTGTTGATTCTATAATGCAACTGCGCCCTAAGTAAACTAATTATTATACATGTCCGTTTGACTACAAACGCTTTATTTCCTGTATTGGCTGCCTTCCTCAAACATACAAAGCAAATGGTTCATTTGGTATGGCTAAACAAGAGACTATATAATGTTAATAATATATTTTCCTACGATGACATTATTTCTCAGTGCTATTTTTTTATGGTGCTCCTAAGTTTTCTTCGAACCTTTGCAACAGATTTTAATAACTGAACTGTTGAAGATGACATGAAGTTTTTCGAAAAACCTCAAAAGATCTCTGTGTAAAGAGGTTCAAATTTTGAATTTACAGAAGGGCTTAAACGCCATTTTTTAAAAACGGCTCCAATTTTTTCACAGAAAATTGCCATTTAGAACGATGTTTTACTGTTCTTAGAATAATATAATACTTCTACCAAAAAACCGAAAAATTAAGAAAAGTTCAAATATGTACTTTGGGTGGCGATAAATGGCAGCTGTCATAAGTATGAGGCACTGAATAGCTAGCCGAGACCAAAGGAAATTGAAAACTAATACGAGAAAGTATATGCCATTTGTAGCATCATTAGTTTTTTTATGAGCACCTAGTCCCTGAAAGAAGTTTCCACCAAGCATCCTGACCTCGATAATTTCATTAGATAAATCCTCATCAAAATGGGTCTTCCATAATTGCATATTCCGAGTTTTAAAAGTTTTAATAGTGCAAAAATAACCTTAATTTCGAATTCAGAGCAACAAAATATATAAAAAATATTTTTCAGCTCGAGTAGTTTTTAATTGTTCTCCAGTGTACTTAACAAATTGAGAATGAAATTTTATAAAATTTAGTAATGTGACTCCGATTTCACGTAATCGTTAAATTCTCGTATTATTCGTTCACTTTGTCATTTTCTCAATAAAAAAATGTGTTTGATTAATACATACGAGAAATTGGTGAATAATTTTCACGATTTTGTAGCGTTGTGACAACTACACTCCAAGGTGTATTTTACTGTCAGGATTCAAAGTATTTTACTGCATTGAAACCTTTTGTACTAATATTGACTATAGGTGTTGTGGTGTGATATCTTTGGCATTTTTCATAAAATAATTAAAGACGTTGTCATTGCCAAATATATTATTTAATACAATAGCAGCTTTCGATGGCTTAGCCATCATCATCAGTTGTCTGCTGGATGGAAGCCAGCATGGTAGTCGTTTTTGTGGCTTCCATCTAGCAGACAACCGATGATGATGGCTAAGCCATCGAAAGCTGCTATTGCATTAAATAATATATTTGGCAATGACGTCTTTTATTACTAATATTGACTACCAAAACGTGAAATAAAAAATAACCAATTCAATTCTTAGAGCCCAAGAAAAAAACTCAAACCTAAAAAGCAACGCCATAGCAGCAAATCGTCACCAATTACCCCCGAGGATGTTGCCCACTCGTTTTGCCGCTCTGCAGGAGCCGGGGGATTCCGCCGAAGCCGCTTGCGCGTGCAGGGCGCGGCGTCACAGCGCCGTGGAGCACAGCGCGCGGTCCTAGAGTGGCCGCGCGGGGCAACGACGCATGGCGGGCCGGGCAGTCCCAACAGCGCACAGCAGTGGCGAGACGGCGAGAGAGGGGGAGGGGGGAGAAGGTCGCCGAGATTAGCGGTGCGATTAGTTCCACGAGCCACACACAAAAAGCGAGGGCAGCGCTGCGAGGTGGGCCGGCGACACGCCGGGGGCCTCGCCTCTGCAGGCACACGCTGGCGGCGACACAACGAATTGCTTGAAGCTAGGGCGCATGGGGACAGTTGTTAAAAACATAGTTTAACAAGATATAATTATTTTGGTATATATATA